TATGGGGCTCAAGCATATTGAGACAGCTTAATCACAGTTGGCCAAAGTGATTAATACAAGAATTCACGCAAGGTAATAAGGCCCAATATTATCAAAGTACTTGGATAGTTTCTAAATCTTGAACATTGATTAGAACTAGATAGATACTGATATGGTTCTGGAGTTCCAGAGCAGTTACAGGAATAGTGCAATGTGGGAGCTGGGGAACCGCAGAATAGAGTAAGCAAAGATTACAGAAGTAATCATGAAAATGCTTGCCTTTTCTGACAGGAATGAGTGGCGTTAATCAGTTTTCCTTTATAAACACTAGTAATAGCATGGTGTACACATATACTGTGGTGTTAATGATTTGCCATTACAAAATGATTTTTTTCTACCCTTGGACTTTTAAAAATATGACTGGACCTTTTACTAGGGCACTAAAAAGGCTGTGCACCTGTTCTAGTCAATGGTAGACAGAAAGGGGATCAATCAATTCAGCAGGATGGTGAAAGAGCAAAAAGGAGTTTTCCTATACAGGTAGTTCCCAGTTTAAGAATGAGTTCTGTTCCCAAGGTCTGTCCTTAAGTCAAATTTATATGTAAGCTGGAACAGTATTATTGTATAATACTGTATAAGTAGTATTGTGTAGTGAACTCGATCCATTGTGGATTTAACTCAAATTGTGTATTTAACTTGAATTTTGCTAAATAGGCTCTGTTCTTAACTATGAGTTGTCCTGAAACCAGGCATTCTTAACCTGCAGACCCCCTGTATTCTTGCTCAGCTGGAACGAGGTCTTGGGTCGTTCTTTGTTTATGTAGATGTACCTGCCAAGGAGCAGCATGACACAGGAACCATCACTTTTTAGCTACTACTCCAATCTCTTAAAATATGCTGACAACTGCAGCCCCTGTATTTTGTTTTGTGGCCCTAAGAATTCCTCAAGCATGGTTTTCCAAGGAGAAACTGTCAGTTGTTTTTGTGAGAAATCCAAGAAAATTAGTGTGTCACAAAAAAGGCAAATTACAATTAAATGCCATCAATTCATTCCTCCTACCACCACAAAAGCCTGCTATGTCCATGTACGTGAGGTGTCCACTCCATAGCCCTCAGCCTCTCAGAAGGGTTGAGGCTATCAACTGCTAAAGCTTGCCTATCTGTTTTGACATATGGTTGTTTAGCTTTTCACTTGGGGCTGTGGGGAAACATTTCCATACTTTACTACCAACTGACAGCTCACAGCAATCTCAGGAAACTGTTTCCTAAGACTCCACTTTAAGCTATAAGGTAGAGGTTAAATGTTATGTATTAAGGATCCGGTAAAAAGCATATTTTAATTTTGCAGCACACTTTAAAGAGTTTTTAATAATTTAATCTGAACAATTGTATTAAGTGTCCATGTAAGTCACCACAACCTGAGCATGACTTCACTTTGCCTAACAGACAGCATTGGGATGTCTTGGAAGCTAAGCACTGTTGGGCCCATTTATGTCTTAGATGGGGAAACCAACCATGTTTTCCTTTTAAGACAGATTTTAATGTTCTACCAGGCCTTAATGAGACAATACACACAGGTAAGAGTAAAGTTAAACTTTACTTTACAGTAATTACGTTCTTTTATATACAAAGAATTACAGTACATATTTTGGGAACGCCTGGATAGGGCAACCTTCCCCCCTCCCCCAATTATCATAAATTTCACATACAGTCAACTGGGTATGGGAAGCAAAATGAAATTAATTCATAGTCCAAAGATACTTCCTTTTTTCCTAATGTAAGTATTCCAAAGATTTCTTTTGGCAGCCAGCTCTCTGTAGAATTGGGCAGCTCTGCATAGCCATATTAGGCTTGTTTTTCACTAATACCGGTATATGCTCTGCTGACTCCTTTTCATTATCCATGCAGAAACATAGCAATTAAGCACTGGAGAGACATGGCAGCATGGACTTTGTTTAGGCTTTCTCCTGCAACAGCTCTGCTTAGCCATAATTCCCACTGATCCCCTCTCCAAAATCGGCAACCAGCATGCCTGAGGATGAAACAATACATACTGCTTGGAGAAACAGAATTTTTCTTCTCCAGCTTATGTTAGCATTGCTAAGTATCAATTTCCTCACCTAACCCATTTTTATTTTGGTTTCATAAAGATAAATTGTGATTTTATAAAGCTTAGCATCACTTTTGTAAATGACCATCAAATGTATGAACGATAGTTCTGCAGCTGTTTAAGAGCTGCAGTCCATGAAAGCTTATGTCATAAATTTGTTAGTCTCTAAGATGCTGCAAGGCAGTTGTTTTTGCTGCAACAGATAAACACAGATCCTCTCCTACAAAATGTTTTATCTCAACATTACTTCCGAGCCCTCAAATATAAGTAAGCCTCTCCAAGCTCTCTTGAACACATGTTAAGGTAGGCTCTTTAAGCTTTTACAAAAGTATTTCTCTCCAAATGATCACAGACCTGACAAATGGAAAATCTCCACACCATACAGAATATTATCAAAAGGTGATCACTGGGATAGCCTACTGCCTCAGGGGTCTTTCATCTTTATCTATCTACGAAAGAGCATGCTCTCTGTAATTTGGCTTAAGTGGTGATCAGCAGAATGGAGAGCTTCAGGCATTTATTTACTCAAGAGAGCAGGATGAATTTGAGCTCCACTTTCTAGGACTTTTCGAGAGGTTGCTCTGCACAAGCACAAAGCATGTGATTACACGAAGACCACAAAGAATGCGTACAAAAGACTATCGCATTCAAGTGGCTGTCACAGATACATTGGTCCCGATCTTCTTGAATATGCTAAAAATTGCAAATCTAGAAAAGGAGACAGAAGTGTGTCCATTATTTAATATAACTTTCTGTCAATATTTGAATACTGGAAAACATCTTGATCTTGAATGTGAACCTTATCTCAGTTCCTGTAATGCAATGTTCTTAAATGGTCAACCCTCATTTCTAGCTTCACCAGCTTTTTGCATCCCAGGGAATTCAACCACACTGTAAAATTGTCACATATCAACACAGGGGTAATAAACTCCGATTTTCATGTAGCTCATTAGTAACTATGCATATGTGGAGGAAAGACTTTTTTAAAAATTTAGCATAAACATATGAATGCCAAAGAATGTTACATATCATTCTAAATTTCCACTTTCAATTAAAAATACACCCACATTTTGAAACTATACATCCTAAATCAAAGGATTTGCAGTCAGCTTACCATCTGCAGGAAAATGCAGAAAAGTGGTGCAGAGAAGCATGAACTATGGCATGGTTAGCAGCACATTACTGAACTGTACCGGCCAGGATTCTCCATTTATTTCAGTATGACCTCTATGTATCTATTGTTCCAACAGGTCCTATTCAAGCCTCTGGAAAAGGAAGGCAGCTCTAGAACTTATGTTTAAACTTCAACCTTTACAAGACGGACCAAGGAGTGCCCTCAATTTAGTTTTACACTGTACAGCTCCTATAAGTACCCCACTCATTAAAAATAAATCTTTAAACAGCTTCATGGTTTTTTAAACAGATCTAGGCACCTGCAGGCTTTAAGTTTCACTTCTCCCAAAAGCTTAGAAAAAAATCTCTGGAAAAAGGAGAGGCACAAATTGCATTCTTTACAGTTCTATACCGTCACCCAAACTGTAGAATACCTATATACACACGCGCGCGCATGCACACAAAAGTTTGAGTCCTAGCCCAGATCCTTCTTTATTCCCTGATCTATTTAATTTTTGGAATGTGGCTTCTTGGCCCATCTTTCAAAGGCAAAATATGGTCCTCAGACCCCCATCCCCCAAAGTTGCATCTCCCTGCACCAAACTCTAATTATAGACCATCTCATTTTCTGCCTGAAATAAACATGGCAGGGCAAAAGATTTGCACATGAGGAACATCGTTTTGCCCAAAATTCCAGCAAGGTACTACCACCCAAGAGTGGAGTAGAGTTAATATGCCCATACAACTTTAAATTCAAGACCATTTTTAGACCCTGGAAATTCAACTCTTATCACTAATGTTCTCCAACCCTTATTTGCTCTGTTCTTTTGGGTGGATGGCACTCAGCCTCTATCTGGCCAGCGTTCGTCCTAATGGAGAACTTTCTGCCTTGTGTGGCCATCATGTTACACAGAGGCAGCAACCTTTTACATCATGCTAATCAGGACCTGGGTGGCAATTCCTATTTCTACCTCATATTTTCCTGAAGTTATGCCTTGTGGCTTCTTTACTAAGCTTAATGAACTGGACATTAACCTCTGGATTTGGACAGGTGCTGTTGTGCTTGATAAAATATTCAAGAGACTCCGTCTATACTTCTGCAATGTTTTCTATTTCACTGCTTAGTTCAGTTTAACAGCTTCTTGTTTTACTAAACAAGTTGTTTAGGAAGGCTGTAAAGAGGGGATCTCCAGGGAAAGTATAATATAAGTCACTGGGCAATTGTTTTGAAATGCCACTCAAAAAGTTCAAATTGGTTCAAACAGGAGTTCCTAGCCAAAGATCCAGAATGTGCTGCTGCATGAATCCCTGTTGTTACAGTCACCTACATGATCCCTAGGAATCTGCACAAAAGAATTCAAAACAAAAAGTTCTGAGTTTTAAAGATTTAAAATAGCCTCCACCAAAAATATTCACAGTTTATTTTTTTCCATGAAACAAATACCTAGTTAAAACACATGACATTGCAAGAACCGAGTTGGATAAAGCAGTGCAGATATCTCTCTTCTTACAGGTATAGCTGTGAAGGGAGGGCAGGGGCTGGCACAAAGGAAGCCCTAAACACACAATCTACATGACAAAGTCCAGCTCACGGGAAGGCCTAAAGAAGTAAAATTAGAGCTTTATTTTGTTTCTACATGAGAAATGTTTAATATGCTGAGCCTTGTGATTGGCTTGACTTGCTTGCTTGATTGTTCAAAAAGATGGGTCTTTTCATTTAAAAAAGTTTTGGTAAAATGCCCTTGGTTTCTTGTATCTGTCTCATTCAGAAGAACTGTCCTGTTTCCTTTTGTGCAGGAGTCACGCAGAAACAAAAGGTGTTTGCATTTCGCCATTTTCAGCAATGAGCAGCGCTCGGCCTGCAGGTGTTCAAGGAAAACCAACTTTAAGCACTAAGGTTCCATTAGTCATAATGCTTTACAAAGTCATTAGCTTTACTTGGAGAGAATGAAATGAATCAGAGAAGAGGATGAGATGCACAACCAGGTAGGGAATATTTCGCAGTGCCGAGTAGATACTGTCACTGTGGAAAGCCAACACTGAAAAAATGGGTCTGAATTTGAACTGCCACTGCAACATTGATGATTGCCTACAGACTCTGAATACCCCAGCATTATCTGTTCCAAGATGAGAGGCTCTAGATTGGGACAGAGTTAGAACTCCTGCTCTGTGCAAAAATGTGGACATCTAAAGAGGACCAAATGGGAGCTAGTCAAGAAGTTTTTGCTTCAAACTGGAGCTTAACAGTCTGTGAGAGTTCAGATGCCCAGGCAAATAGAACAGAAGGGTGGCAACCTTTAAGAACGATCAAATAGCTTGCTGACTTCTTAGTATGAAATGGAAGCCAGATTAGGTATGTGAAGTCCCCGCACAGTAATATCGCCATATACAGGGTGAAGTAATAATTGCTCTGATCCCCAGCTACAATTTTAAAGAAACCACCTTCAGTGCCATAGCAAGTTATATTTCTGTGGTACAGATAATGTTTCAGTCTGTTTATGTAATACTAGATGTTTCCACCAGAGTGAAAGTCAGTACTACCAAACTAGCAACCTGTCAGGAATAAAGTGTTGCACTGACTGGAAAATGAAGAAAAAAGAATGAGAACCTCAGCCAGGTGCTAGAGCTCTTCATGTTCCAGTGTGAGAACTATGACTTCAGCTATCTCTGTTTCTGATATGACGTCCCATTAAATTCAAGTAAACTTTCTGCAGGTGGGGCCTGGGAGTGTTGCAGGAGACAATTTGAAAGGCTTACTAAACTAGATGCTAATCAGAATATTAATATTCATTTTTCATCTTGAACATTTATTCTCATATAGGCCATCAATTGTTTAATTTTCTGAAGTAGCCCATGATTTAGAAATACACCCATACATAATGCAAACATTATTTTTAAGCAGGTTTGCCGTGGAAAAGGGCAAAATTAGTTTTATTTGTCCACACTGGCTAATCATTTTGACTACAAGATGACTTTGGTGAACAAACTGTAAAACGAAAACAAAACCCAACAGCAATGCTGCACTGAAAAGCTAGACAAAAAAATGTACTTATTTTTCTAACCTGCTGTTGTCTTTAGTGGCAAAACTGTGTTGAAGAGGGAGCTCTAACGCCGCTGCACTAAAGATCTAAGTCCCAAAGAATCTATCAGATAGTATTTCTGAATATTCCCACTGTAAGACCTAGGTTTACAGAGGCACAAGTTGTTCTGTTTTGCAGAACTGAGGTCCTCAACTAACTTCAAGTATTTTTTTTAAGCACCTGCATTTGAAAAGCTTCACCCTGACAGCATAAATTCAAACAATCACTCCTAAAAGTTAGACGGCAAGGAATGAAAATTAAGCACTAAAAACCTGCTGCATTTCCTTTTGTGCCCTCAATATCTGGGTTAAGTTAAGCATTTTGGAAATGTGAGGGGCCAGTGTAGAACTCTGTTATGATAACAAACTATTTCTTTGGAGCTACATGGGAATAATCTAGGGATGCAAGTCTGTTACTCAGACTCACAAAATTAGTAAACTGATTAATGGAATTAAGTATTTTATCCCAAGTGGATTTCTTTATTTCAGTGTTATTGTTTGCAAAATGAAGGTACAGACCACCTACATTCTTGCTCCTTGGTTGGACATCATAGATTTAGTTAAAATGTATCTGTATAGGTTGAGCAGGATGATGCTAGAGGTTAAGAATCTGGGGAAATGAATTAAAAAGAAAACAACCAACAAACAAAAATAATCCTTTCCCATACAATTAAAAAACCAACCAAAACAAATATGGTGACCCGTCTGGCCTCAAACTGGCTTTACTTAGATTTAGACTCAGGAGGTTCGTGGCCAGGACAGTCCTGGTCCAGTCCTAGCACCGCATTTTGCTCAGACAAAGGCAAGATGCCCTGCCCCACAGACGTTTGTGTTTTCCCAGAAAGCCAAGAGATCTGCTCCAATGTCTGAATGTTTCTGGTCAGCCATGAAGTTTGCCCAGAAGGCAGTGGAGCTTCCCTTCCGGGCCAAGGGGGTTGCTCAAACGCAGACAGTCTCTCTGTGGACCAAAATGTCTGCTCCGTGGAGGGTGCAGGTATTGCTTCTTGGCCTGGACAGAGACTGTGCTCAGGAGACTGCAGTTTCTCAGCTGTCCAAAATGATTGCTCCATGGGTGGCAGCCCTTTTGCACTAAGCCAAGAGGTCTTTTCATGCATTTGCAAGTTCTCTACTGGGCAGGTGGTTTGTCCTGGGAAGGGTGGAAATTTCCCCGTCGGCTGACAAGACTGCTCGCCAGATACAGATGTCCGTTCTTTTGGCTGAGGGTTCTGCTCCACAGTCACAAAGCCTCTTTCTTTGGGTTGAGCATTCTGGTCGACTGGCCGCAGTGCTTTCTCTGAAAGCAAAGGCCTGGGGTTTAGTGGGGCAGGAAGCCTGTCTGAGAGCTGAGGCCTCAGGCCCGCGGCGGTAGAAGGCTTGTCAGACGGTACAGGCCGAGCGTCCACGGGGGTAGGCAGCCTGCTGGGCGTCTGAGGCGGTGAGCCGGTCGGAGCAACTAGCCTCTCTGACGGCCTAGACCTCAGGGCCACCGGGGAGACAGGTCTGACTGGCAGCTGCGGCTTCAGGCTCAGCGAAGGGGCCGCCTTCCCTGGAGGCTGAGGCAGCGGTCCCACAGAAATGGCCCTGCCCTGCGGCGGAGGCCTCAGAGAATCAGGTTCTGCAGCTCTGTCCACTACCTGCCCGCAGGGCGGCGGGGTGGCGGTGGGCTTATCTAGCAACGGGGGCTGGGGAGCGCTCGCCGAAGGTGACGGGTCTGAACTCCTGGGCGCTTCTAGGGCTGAGCAATCGGCTGCTGTCTCAGATCCAGGTGACTTCTCCTCGGTGGCGGTGGAGGGCTGTCCCTCCCGAACTACGGCAGGGGACAGCTTCTCGGGGGGTTGCCCCTTCTGGGCCCCGGGGGAGGCTAGCTTTTCAGAGGCCCGCAGCCTGAGGGCCACCGTGGGTGCTGACTTTTCTGAGGGGTGTAGCCTAAGAGCCACCGCCGAAAGTGGCTTGTCTGGTGACTGCAATCTAAGGGCCAGGGCGGAGGACAGTTTGTCTGAAGGCTTGAACCTCAAGGCCAGGGTGGAGGGCAATTTGTCAGAGGGTTTTAAACTCAGGGCCAGGGTGGAGGGCAGTTTGTCTGCTGGTTGTAGCCGCAGTGCCACTGTAGAGGGTGGTTTATCTGAGGGCTGTAGCTTCAGGGCCACCGAGGAAGGCGGCTTGTCTGAGGACTGTAGCCTCAGAGCCAATGAAGAGGAAGGTGGTTTATCTGAGGATTGCAGCCTCAGGGACACAGTCAGAGGAAGCCTCTCTGAGGACTGAGATTTCGGGCCTGTAGCCGCAGGCTGCTGGTCTGGTGGCTGAGTGTTTTGGCAGCCAGCTGCTGATTCTGTGGGAGGCGCATACTCACGAATCTCTCCTGGCTCTAGAGGGTTAGGTCCACAAGGATCGTGTTCTGTGCATGACAGGCGTCCATCCAGTTTGGAGATGAACAGCATGCCTTCCCGATGCTGTTTGCAGAACGATCGGGGACACATCTCACAGAAGGAGGCTGCTTCTTTGTTACACACATCGCACTGATGCCAAGGACATTCCCATTTCCCTGCAGCACGGGAAAAAGCGTGACTGAGATGAGCTACGGCAGCTTCTTGGCAGAGAGACAAGCCCCTGAAATCAGGATGCAAGGAAACCCTGACTGGTGGAAGCTGTTCAGAGGAGATCACTAAATTCAGCTCCAGCTTTCCAGGCACCCAGATGCTGGTATTAAATTGCACACAGTGGATATAACAGACAAAGGCCTAATTCATTACCTACAATGGTTTCATTCCACTCTTTATTATTGAGTTTTGACTTTGCCCTGGTTCCAACTGCAGGAACCTCCATCTACAGAGCAAGAAAGGATACCTATGAGCAGAAATAAACAGGGCCTTGGCACAAAGTCACTGCACTCCTATGGAACATGTGTGCTTTTTCATGAAGAACAGTTTATATATACCCCTCTAGGGCTAGGGGTGAGCTAAAGGGAGCTTAAGGAGGACAGAATTTAATAGAGACATAAAGATTTCCAATTTTTCCACCTCAAGAAAAAAGTTAGAAGTGGTATAACCTCTCGTGGGCTGCAACTTTTGCTGTTTAAGTAGATGTCTGGCTCCCTGGGCTCCTCTCCCTCATTTCTTCTGATTTACCTTTGCTCCTTACTCTAGTTCACTTGAATGATAAACGCTGCTTCGGGTGGCAATTATATGCCCACATAAATTAGTCAGTTCAAACTCAAGGAGCCATTTACAAGGGAATCCTTCAACATGGGTAGACAGGCAATGTGATCGCATCATTTAACAGCTTGTATTTAAAAGCTTGTTAAAGTGGAACACTTTAATGCGAAAAAAGGTACAGCTGAGATAACTGGCTCCATTTCATCCAAAGAATCTCTTCTATTAGTACTGCATTTAACGTATGAAGAAAAGAATTACATTTTCTAACTCTGACCTAGATTTTGATTCATTAACACAGGGTATGAGAAGAAAAGCGCAGAACACCTTAAAAGGAAGATTATGTTTGTATTTGGCTGATTAAATCTATTTTAAAGAACAAAACTTCAGCCAACATGAATTTATCTGTCTTCCCTACATGTGTAGGACATGAGCTACCATCCACTCCTGGAAATGCTGCAAGCCAGGGAGGGCTGTTTTCTGCAGTAACAGAGTATGAGAATACTTTACTGACCTGCAGGTCGCCTCGTCAGATTGAGGCAGTCAGCATGGTAGACTTTTGGGCAGCCTGGCCTCTTACAGGAAACCAGCTGCCCACCATCTCCACAGCTGAAACATTCATCTTCCCGCTCTTTCATGATTTCTGTCTGTGACTTGCGCTTTCCGTGCCGCCTCTTACATTTCTTGGATTTCTCTTCTGTAGCAGGTGGCTGGTTCTGGAGACAGTAATAATTCCAGTGAGCAACTGTTCAGAATGGGAACAATTCCCTGTTCTTGTATAACTAGTTTTGTTTAACTTGTTTAACTAAGGTACACAGTGAGATGTCCAATCCTGAATGGTCCATCTACCATTAGTAGATGTACTCCTACAAGGAAAACAAAATGGGTTGGCTTCATCCAGTGGTATGGAACTAATATTATATTTAAAATAGATGTAGGATCAGTATAAATTGTTGATCTGACAAAACTAGATTTCTTTGCCCTTTATGAGATATTTGAGAGCTAATATTTGACAGATCTTTGCTTCAGGAAAAATGAAGAGATTTAGAGCAGAAATTTAGAGTTGCTTTTCTTCTTTTTTAAATTTGTATTCTCAGCTAGTTTAAAGAATGCAGAATAGGCAACAGGGATACTACTTTTATCATCAGGAACAAATTACACAAGCAGTAGAGGACCATGCCAGTACAAATAGAATTCCTATGCATCCAGTATAAGTACAGGTAATCCTTGCTTAACAACCACAATAGGGACCAGAAAATTCATTGTTAAGTGGGGCGGTTGTTAGAGTGTCACACCCGATTCTATGACCTTTTTTGCAGCAGACATTAAGCAAAGCACACGGTCGTTAAGCGAAACATATGATCATTAAGCAAATCATGCGGTTCCCCATTGTTTTTACTTGCCAGAAGCCAGCTGGGAAGGTTGCAAATGGTGGTCACATGACCCTGGGATGCTGTAACTCTCATAAGTGTGAGCTGGTTGCCAAGTGCTTGGATTGCAATCACATGACCGCGGGGGTGCTGCGATGGTTGTAAGTGCGAGGACTGGTTGTAAGTCCCTTTGTTCAGCACTGTTGTAACTTTTAACGGTCACTACATGAATGGTTGTTAAGTGAGGACTACTTGTAAGGCCAATATAATTCTGAGTGCATCTGAGGGAACGTATCCAAAGATAGACTGTTATACCTTTGGTCGTACTCCAAGGAAGCCACTGCAGTTTGGTGCTCCACACTTGCAAACTGTTTTCCCGTTCCCCAAACATTCCAGATTGTAGTTAAAAGTCAGCTCGGTCCCTGGTAATGAAAGAAATCAGTGAGACCCACCTGGATGATAATATACAGGCTTTTGAGCATGAGATTCAGTGTCTAATAAAGGAATGAAAGATTAAAAGGCAGCCAGAAGAAAAATTACAGGTACTGAGGGGAATCTATTTCTATTTCCACTGTGTTAGGCAGGATCTACTGACTTATCTCAGTACTGTTTCTGAAGTATGGCCATGCCATGTTTTTTCTAACAGAATGACTGCAACAGAGCAGTATCCACTAGTTAATAATGCAATTATTAGAGATTAACCCTTTGTAGGACCCAATCCTACTAAATAAAGCATTTGTGTTCCTTTCTTTTAGCAACTCTTTCAAGTAGCCAGAATACTCCTACAGGCTGGCTCCTGGAGAAGTGCAGTCCTACCAATGCTCACAAAGCAAGCAGGACCTCTTCAGCCAAGCAAATGGAAGAAACCCTGGGATCAAAAACTATGCAGAAAAGGAGCAGAGAAGGGAATGAAGAAGACATGAGGCAGGAAAAATCTTCAGCATTTAGAGAAAAGAAAGGAAAGCCATGCACCTGCTGCAAACAAACTGTCCTCTGCCATCCTTCAGGAAGTGAGTGAGCAGAGAGAAAAAAGAAAAAAGACCAATGGCAGATACAGTTCTGGCTAGCAGACGCTGTCCATGTACTCAGGGCCACACAATGTATCTTAAGGGCCAAGCTATCCACCTGAATGGTGTATCTCCTGAACACTAATATCTTTCTAACGGGCTTCACAATCACCAACAGACCGCAAAAGCTACGCATTTAAGAAACCCCAAACATTTCAAAAGAAAGCTACTATGAGAAATACTGACCTGCCTTAATATTTACAAGGGCAAACAGCCCAACCCGAGTATCTCCATTCACTGACCACTTCTGGGTCTCACAGTTTGGCTGGCAACAATGGTTCATGAATCGAGCATGATTGCCCTTTGGTCCAGCATCAATTATTCGATCCTAAAATCACCAAACAGAATCACCTTTGAAAAACATAGCTTTAACCTTTCCTTAGCTCAGACCAGCCCCATATGTAGAGTGCTTTAGAAAATACAAAGCTAACAAGTTGAATAGTTCAGAAAGCACAGTACCCCAAACTTATCAAAGGAGCATTTGTTTTTTCAAGGGTATCTGATGTTCTATTAAGCACTCCAAATGCTGAAAAGAAATTACATAGAGCTACCTGTCACTCAACATACAGGAAACAAAAAAGCTTTCACCAACCTTGTCCAAAGTCAGCATGTAAAAGTTGGTGATATCATGCTCTTGAGCATAGCGGATTCTGGCCCGACATTCTTCTTCATCTATCAATTCTCCCACATACTCATTCACAAACTCACCCTGAAAGTGCAGGGATGAAACACAAGTAAGTGCTCTGATTACAAAACTAGGACAACAAAGAGTTCTTCGTTAATGGCAGTATTTCAAGTACTTTTTGAGAGAAGTCTGGGGAGGCACCATTCTGTTTCATGTTCAACAATGTTCTCTAAAAATACCACAGCATATGACTATTCCTATTATCATTCTTATTACAAGAGTACAGCCTACATATGATTGCTTTTGAAACTCCAGAAGCTCTAAGGCTGCCAGAGACCCAGGCAGTCTATATATTTACCGCATAGGTAACCAATGTAACTAATACGTAATCAGCTTATTTATGTAATAAATAAAAAGAACTGATTATATCCCACCCACAACCTAATAAGCCTACATGGGCTTAGATATTACAGTCTCCCACTGTGCTTCTTCTCAAGGCTATCATAAACTTAAAGCTTCTCTTATAAAAACCTGACTACTGAAGCATCTGTGGTAATTAGTACAGTAAAACTGGCAAATATTTTTTAAGGAACTTTGTTCCATTATTTCCTAATAAAATACAGTATTTAGAATCATGGTATTTATCGCAGAGTTTAAGAATATTTTGAATACTCAGTAATAATTTGATGTAACAACATGTGGGCATCAGAAACAATGAACTGACATAAACAATTTGTGTCTTTTAAATCAGAATCTGTATAATAAATAATTGACATTGGAAAGAGAAATAATTGACACTGGAAAGGCAATCAGTACAATCAATCTTTGGAATTGTTGACATACACTGATTTGAGGGATGTAGTTTAAGATTCCCTTGTTGCATAATCTAACCTCTATGTAGGTAGAAAAATGACCATGGGAAACAAAACTTCTACCCCATGTTCCTGATGTATCTGAGAACAAGAAAACTGGCTTTTATTTTGCTTTTAGATATGTAGTAACTATAATGAAAACAAAAAAGCAAAAGTACCTTTTTAATGTCTCTCTTAGCTTGCAAGCCCCAGCCACATGCTAACGTACGGAAGATTTCTACTTCTGGATACTGTCTCTTGGTGAAACACTGGTTTTGGCAGCGTTCTCCAGCTGGGCAAGTCGCAGGGTGACATTCGTAGAGCAGCATGCGATTAATACACTCTGAGTCTAAGCCACAGGGGTTTTCATCTGCAGGCTTGCAGTTGCAGCGTGGTATTTCAGACAAGTCTGCGGTGAAGATCTGTACTTTGCCCACAGGCCTGTTTACCTACAAACAGAAATAGAGAACTCCAAGTAAACCCATTGTTTTAGGAAGTGTGCATTTTGGAAATACTGTTCAGATGCACTGTCTGATAGTATACTGAAATCCATGGAAAGAATAATAATTTTCAGCAACACATATGATGAGGAAATAATGTTGGAATAGATACCAGAAAACTTTTACAGCTGCAGAGGGTACTTTGTGCCACTTTACTACTACCACTGCCAGCAGAAATAATACATATTCCACTTCAATTATGTGATCATATAAGGGGTGTCAGATGGGGTGTCAGATGGGCTGGCCCTCCAAAAGATATATTATTTCTACATATTATTTATTATAATACATATTATTTCTGCAATCATATATCTTTGCTGAACCAGGAAACTCCCTTCTGAACAAGATCTTATATAGATTTATTGCAGGTTAGTACCATGTTCAACTCAGTGTAGCTAACAGCTAATTTACAAAGGATGGGGTGGGAGAAAGAGTTTGGGAACTCTGTGGTTCATTTAACCGTAAAATAGCACAGACTGCAGGGATTTCCTTCCTTCCTTAAATTTCTATCCAGTATTAACTTTCCACAGGACAGTAAGATAGTAGGAAACATGGAGGTTTAAATCCAAGCTAAGTAAGAAATATATGTGCTAATTAAGAGAAATTCCTGACTACAACAAAAGCTTTATATACAGTTAAGGCTTGCAAAAGCAGCATACAATCTCACGGCCCACTCAATTATATTTAAGGTACTATCAGATCTCTTATGTTCTGCATTCTCACCTTAATATGTTTGTATGGTGGGGGTTTCTTATCATTCTTTTTGTCTTCTTGTAGCTGACGCAGTTCCTTCTGTGCCTTTAATTCTTCAAATCTCACAGCAGCTTCCTGCAGAGCTAAGTTGAGAAGTGCTTTTCTATTACATTTGAACAAGCACTTATGTACACCTTTCTAGCAATCTTTGGATTGTTTCTCAAGACTTTTGCATGAAGAATGGTATGTGAATAAATGTGTAAGTAATATGCCCAAAAAATATTAAGGAGGACATACCCTAAACTATGCAAAGCTTCAGCTCAGATTCATCTTTCCAGCACCAGCAATGAGACATATAGATCAGGGCAGTTTGGAAAATGAAGTATGCTCTGCTGAACCAAGGAGGAAGTTAGGCTGAATGAAGATGTAAAGTTTGCCTTGTATGGTCAGTGGCTAGAGACCCAAATCAATTACATGCCTTCAAGAGGAAGACACACAACTATAGACTATTATGATGGCTTCACTCCAATAAAATCAAAGCAAATATAACACACTGAACTCCTCCACAATAAAGTTATTGATACATGTTATAGGTAACCCACAGGCAAATTCACTATCTGATAAAAATGCAAATAATATTAGATTGTGGTATGTTTTAACTCATGTTTGTTCTGACTCTGCAATAAAGTAATTTGATATATCACCTAAGAACACAGAAGTACAGGCCGAGTACTTTTCGGTTTTGTGATGTGATTACTTAAGCACTTCCTTAGATTGAAAGAAAATAAGTTACCCTTCTTATAAATGCCATCTACTCCCTTCGCCATCTTGTCCTTACTGCTCACATCTCCTTCCATATAAGGAAACACACGAGCCTGGTGAGTCCAAAGGTAATCATTTGATCCAAAAAAAAGGACAGGGAATTCACCAATGACATGTTTAATCTTCTGAATGTTGATAGGAATGGTCCTAGGGTGGCAAATCTCAGCTGGCCACCACCTGGTAATAAAGAACACCAGATAAAGTAATGAATAGATATGTATACTGCAGTGTCTGTTTTCAGATATACATCCTCTGTACGGTTCCTAACTCAGTCACAACATAGCATGACAAGACCAAATGCTTTACATGTTCTCTTAACAGTGTGGAAGCCTCAGCAGCAGACATGGAGGATAAACACAGACGTGTGTTAAGGCAGCTTATTAGCAATTACTATAAAGATGATGGTGATAGTTTCTTCTTCTAATGGACAGACTCAGATTTTATCTGAAACAAAATCAGTAATTTAAATGTAACACGAGTTACTTCCTTTACTCACCTGAAACGCCCCACTTTCACCCAGACCACTTCCTTATAATGTGGCTTCTTGCCAGCCTTGCAGTCATTACAGTACCAACTCCCCTCTGGCATGTCAATGTTCAGACACTCCCGATGGAAGGCAGCAGGGCACGACTCACAGCATAAAAGGCTTCCACCTGTAAGGATGAAAGGCAGGTTATCATGGTCATCAGAACCAAGTTACCTTCAATAATAGATTTATAATTAGGGATCTTAAAGCCAAAGTAATATGCAAATATTTAATACTACAACATCTATTTGTGCAGAGATGCCCTTGCAGGACAGAACATTTGCATTCCTCCCAACCAGCAGCTTTGTTTCTCGTAGTTATTTTAATTATTTCATTATTTAATACATTAAATAGTGTTACATGGGCAGAGGAAAACAAGAGAAAAAAAGGAAAAAAGAAGGGGGAAAAAAAATCTAAAAAATAATCATAACCCTTCTTTCTTCAGGTTCCTACTCCTGCCTTCTGGAATGAGGTTCCTCCAGAGACCTGGATGGCTCCCACCCTGATGATATTTTGGCCCCAATCCCAGGCTTTGGGCTAGGCTGATTGCAGCCCCTTTTTGAGTGCATGATATGTTTGTTGACTGGATTAGGTTATCTTGTTTAGTGTGTTTGTGTGTGTGTGTGTGTGTGTGTGTGTATTCTTTTGTTTTTTATGCCATGACCTACCCAGAGTCACTTGGAGTTGGGGGCATCTAAGTCAAAAAACAAACAAACAAACAAACAAACCTTTTATCCTTTTATGAATGTTATTTGGGGCAATCAGGAATCCACAGCACTTGTACATAATTAAATAGTACTGAGATCCAGTCTTGTACAATATCCCCAAACCTCACCACAAAACTTTGGGGTTGCTTTTAGACTGGTCACCATCTTTCATCTTATTATACATCACAAATGGTCCATATGATGATAAAAGGGCAGAGAGGAGACAGCCACATAGGCTGTCCTATACTTCACAGAAAAAAAGCAGAGTAAAATGTAATCGATAATAAATGAAGCAATCAAGCCGTAACTCATTTTAACATCCTTTGTTAAGGTTTACTTTCATCAGATCCTACACAGAGATAATATCTAGGCTGCCTTTGCTTTATTCTTCTGATAGATCCACCACAATTCCCTCTCCCATCTTCAGAGAAGTCTTCATTAAAATATATACAACACATCACATCCAGCAAATAATGCATTACCTTCTGAGCAAACAAAACACCAGCTGACATTTACATGCTCATGGTTTCTACAGCCCCTTCGAGGGGTAAAATGATTGGGGCAAATCATGCTGTTGGAAGCAAGGATCATTGTCCCAGCAGCAAGGCAGAAATCATTTGAGTGATATGCAACAGGGCACCGCACACAACGAATCAAGCGACCTAAAAAGGAAATATATTGAATTGCAGTTTCAAAAATTAATACATCTGGGAAAACATTTAATAAAATTCAAATTTCAATAGAAAAACAGTTCATCCTCTCTTTAAATGTCTACAAACAGAACCCACATCTTGCCCCAAATTTTGGCATCACTGAACTGACCACATAAAGAAGTCCACTATATATAGAAGTTGATGTACCTTTAGATGCAGAAATATTGGCTGGGTTAGCAGCATGGCATGTCATGCAGATATGCAGTGAGCAGCGAAAGCCCTTGTTCTGCATGACTGTGGGAGGATATTTCTGTATACATTCTTCATGATAGTATTTGCCACACAGAGGAAGCAAGCAACGCTTCACATTTTTCCCACTATTCTTGCATACAAAACACGTGTGAACTCCTAAAGGAGATCAAGAACAAGAGACAGGAGCATTCAAATACAGAAGCAACAACAACAAAAGCTTACAATTAAGTAATCATCCAGAGAGAAGGCATCACAACAAAGCTCTAATATGTTCTAGATCAGCTGACCACAAGGCCATGTGTTCCCCATAGCAAAGCTCCTTGTTTGCAACAGGTTCAAATGCTTACCTAAGAATATAAGAACCTAAGCAGTGCCCTGCTGGATCAGGCCCCCGGACCATCTAGTCTCCTGGCAGATGGTCTTCAGAAGCAGTCCCACTGCCATCAAGGCTAATAGCCATAGATCCTCATGACTTCACTAATTGGTCCAACCCTTCTTTGAAGCCATTCAAGCTGATAGGCAACACCACTTGAAAGTGATGCCAGCACATTATCGGTAAGTTCTTCCCATCCATCCATCCAGTACTGTACCTGTGGAACATTCAGTGCAGATAAACTTGCCCTTCGGCATTTCTGAGAGCCCGAGGCACTGCAAGTGGAAAGCACCACAGCACTGGGCTTCACATAGCAACAATTCACCTGGCTTTTCACAGATCTGTGTGGAAATGAACAGTATGTCATCAGAAGCTGTTTTTTGTATCTCTGTGCACAGTAACATACAAAACCCCAGCTGAAACCTTCTCTGAAAACATTCAACAATAATTTGTGCTTGAGCATACAGATCCTTTTGTAGAATTAAATGCGGGTAATTTAGGCTGCTACAAAAGTTCAATTTAAGTTCGTCCTACAAGACAAAATGTAACTTAATTCCAGTATCCCCTTTTCCCCACAAACATGTATGGACACATTTCTTATCTACCCCAAAGACAACAGGAAAACATGTGTATGTACATTTTATAGGCTGAAACATAAGGAGGCCAGTTCCCAGACAGAGAGGTCGCTAAGCAAATTAACAAGGAGAGCAGACAGCAATTCCGCGGGGGAATTCAACAGAGAGGAGGGAAGAAGCAGAAAAGAGAGAAGGGAAAAGTGGAAGAGTGAAGAAAGTGGAGAGACTGGTGATTTTATATTATGTAGAAACTCAAGTCTTGTTTGCAAAAGCTCATCTGTCGCCATGGGGTGAGGTATCATCAGTATGCTGATGGTACCCAATTATACATCTCTGCCCCTGGTGAATTAAGTGATGCTGTGAATGTCTTATCCCGGTGCCTGGAGGCTGTGACGGTCTGGATGGGGAACAACAGGCTTCAACCGAACCCTGGCAAGACTGAGTGGCTCTGGGTTCTGCGGCCTTCTGGTGCTAGAGTTATGCCATCTTTGGTACTGAATGGGGTTGCACTGCCCCAAACAGACCCTGTGTGCAATCTGGGGGTCCTCCTGGAATCACGACTCCTGCTCGAAAAGCAGATGGCAGTCATAGCTAGGAGGGCCTTTGCACAGCTTCGTGTTGTGTGCCAGTTGTGCCCATTCCTAGATCAGAGGGACCTAATCAGTCACTCATGCCCTGGTCACCTCCCATTTGGATTTCTGTAATGGGCTCTACATGGGGCTGCCCTTGAAGAATATCCGGAAGCTTCAACTGGTGCAAAATGCAGCAGCGCAGGCAGTTATGTGTGCCCCTAGGGTGGTATACGTTACACCTCTGCTTTGCGAGCTGCACTGGCTGCCAGTTTGCTTCCGGGTCCAATTCAAGGTGCTGGTTTTGACCTTTAAAGTCCTTCATGGCATGGGGCTGGGTTACCTGAGGGACCCCCTCTCCCCAATTACATCTGCCTCTCCCATCAGGTCTGGCAGAGAAGGCATGCTGTGGATCCTGTCTGCTAGAGAATTACATCTGGCGGGTCCCAGGAGGCAGGCCGCCTCTGTTGTGGCACCTCCCTTGTGGAGTCTCCTCCCCCTGGAAGTGAGATAGCTCCATCCCTCTTAACAGTCCCTCAAGACCTGGCTATGTGATCAGGCCTGGGGTTCCCAGGGGACCGGGGAGATTTTACGATGGCTCCCTTATTAATTTTATCCCTTCCTGTTTTTGTGTGTTTTTACTGTTTTTTTTAATATAGTTGTTTATGTATTTATTTTTTTAATTGTGGTATGCCGCCCAGAGTCACCTTGTGTGAGATGGGCGGCTATATAAAGATGATAAATAAATAAATAAGTAAGTAAGTATATTTCAGGGCAAAGAAGCAAGGCAAACAAAAACAGTTACTATATAAACGCTCTATAAAGAATCAAGGAATATAATGTGTCTCTGATTGTCTAAATGTTTCAAGCATCTTCAGAGTTACCATGTCAGAGCAATTATTGGAGGCTACTACCTGACACACATTCTCCTTGAGAGCAGCTCCTCCACCTCGTTCCCCCTGCATCTTTTTGGACGAAGGCAACCCATGGTCATTTTCAGAACCTTCCTCGGTAGTGTCCTTGGGGCTTCCAACTATTCCATGAGTAGATCTGTCACCCTTTAAAAAGAAGAAAAATGTAGATTTTAAACTAACAAACACCATGTTTCCAGATGTTCCACCAGCTATTATATATATGAATATTCAATAAATGAGTTTAATTCAAATGGCAGAAAATGATAAACTGACTTGTTTATTAAAAGAAAAATCAAATAATTATTACCT